CACGCCGATAACGGTTCCCTCTCCGGAGATATCGGAATGGTCGCGCGGTGAGTGTGGTATCGAAGATAATCGTAGCGCAAAGTCCAAGACCGGCATCTCGTACCAAACCATAGACATATAAACTAAATGGACTGCGCGTAGAGAGAAAATGTCAGCCAACATTGAGCAAAGGAGATAGAGCTACGAGTTGGGAAAAACAGTGTTACCGTTATAGTGAAACTTAATTATGTGAATTGTAAATAAACAATGTTTGTCATTAAGATACCTGTTGATTAATAATTTAAAATGTATACTCCGTTTTCGTTAATTTATGTCTAAGCTTTATAGATTTGTTTTTTTACATTTTTCATTTTATAATTGTATATAATTTAAAATGGTCAATGTCTGCTGCATTAAAGGTTTTTCCACAAAAACTTTTTTTCACCAAGGCATTATGCTGCACAAGTTAGTTTTTTCGTGCACTTTCAATACATTTTTATACCATAAACTATTTTATTTTATTTAGAGTTCCATTTGTTGATTGGTGTTAAATGGGTAGAATTTATTCATTTATACAGTCCATGGTTCAAATTTTCAAAATCGGCAGTGGTGTGTGGTTGTCATTTTACTAAAAATGTATACCAAGTATTTTGTCGCGTATCGGTACAAATATTATCTGATATCGATAACATTAAAGTAATGACATTATTGTTACCGGCCAGTGAGGCCGACRGTTTTATCGTTGATTTGTATATCATATTATATTGTATCGAATTAGTCGTCGAAAAGTATCGAGCGTGGCATGTCGGCTCATGATTCAAAATAAACGTATTTAAATTATTTTAGTTTCAATTGCGTCTAATTAATTATTTTAATATTAGTAGCTAATAAACCTGAATATCCGAAGTAACCAACGGAAGCTTACAGTCCACTCCGCAACATTTGGTCCATAGACCCGGATATTCAGTGTTTATTAGCGATGCGTACATCGTATTTAGTCGTCAATTGAGTATAGTGCGAAAGTTAAAGTTACAAAGTAGCTGCGGTTTAAAGGGAATTGTACGTCGTGTATAGTGGGCGTGCAGGTTAGGTTATATTAGGCATTATATGGTGTATGGCGAAAAAGAAACAAATCAATAATCTCAGCGATGACGATCAAATTTCCCAAACAAAAGCTGGGCTGCTCGAAAAAAATTGTCATGAAACGTCAGCCATAAAGGTAAGAGTCTCTGATTAAAAATAATTCCTGTGTACAATTTCCTTGGGTTTCGCCTAGTGAGTATATATAAAAAAAAAAAAAGCTCGCACGTAGTACGTGAAGCAGGTCGTATAAAAGCAGATAACAGCCAACAGGTTTAGCGAAATAATGTATAATAATAGATTATTTAATATAATATAATATAATAATATAAATAAATAATAAAAATAATAAAATAATAATAATAATATAATATATTATAATATAATAGATTATTTAGAGTGGGCGTCGTTTTATGATACGTTTACGGCGTCGGTACATACGCAACAGCACCTATTACCCGTATCAAAGTTTTTCATTTGCGCGAAGCACTATCAGGAGAGGCGTTGAACTCGATAAAATCTTTGGAGACCACGGCCAATAATTATGAAAGAGCGTGGAACATTCTGTGTGCGAGGCATAATAATAAAAAAGTGTGAATACAAGCTCACGTGAAGGTGATATTTGAGTTGAATGCACTACAGTGCAATTCAGCAATAAAACTTAGAGTGTTTTTCGATGTGTTGCAGGTCACATACGAGCTCTAGAGGCGTTAAAGCTAAAACCTGAAAATTGGGGCCCATTATTCATACACTTAATTAGTACCAAATTAGATTAAAAAAACGTTACAACAGTGGGAAGACGGCAGTTCTAAAGAAAGGATTGCTGATGTTTCCGAGATAATGCAGTTTCTAGAAAATCGATTTAAAGTATTAGAAGCCATCGAATCAACGAAAAACATACATAGTTCTACGCGGGGTACTATTAGTAGTGGATCAACAGTTCAAGGCAAATCGAACAAATATAATAACCAATTTTCGTCTTTAATAATAAATACGGGTTTAAAGTGTTACGTATGTCATTTGCCACACACTATATTATACAAATGTCCAAAAAATGATGAGCAGGTATTATTATCAACAGCGGTGGTGCATAATATACAAAATGCCAACGGAGAAAATATAGAATGCCGTATATTGTTAGATTACGGCTCGCAGTGTAACTTAATTACCGAAAATATGATTCAAAATTTAAGATTAAAAAGGTACAAAGTGCAGCACACAGTAATGGGTATCGGTGGGATAACACAACCGATTACGCGCGTAGTAAATGTTTCAATTGCATCGCGATATAATAGTTTCAATTTAACGTTGACCTGCTTAGTCATACACAAAATAATACATTGTATGCCTAATAGAGAGGTCGAAAATTGCGTAACTCCTAATGATATAAATCTCGCGGACCCGTTATTTAGACGCCCGCAGAAAATAGATTTGTTATTGGGGAATAAACATTTTTTTGAAATAATATGTGCTGGCCAAATTAAATAGCACATTACTGGGTCGATATTTCAGGAAACACATTTCGGCTGGGTGGTAGCCGGACCGGTCTTAAGAAAGAATGGTAATAATACCAAAGATGAAGTTAGCGTAATGCACGCAGCGGGTGTGGATAATAACGCACATTTTGAAAATTTAATATCAAAGTTTTGGGGTTTAGAAAAAATGGAGACGGACCCACCGTTAACATTAGAAGAAAAAATGTGTAAAACTCATTTTGACGAAACCGTACAATGGGATAAAAACAGACGTTTTATTATCCCTTTGCTGTGTAGCGTCCCAGCATACAGGAGGACAAACGACTGGTGTTGAGGTAGATGGATTGAGTGTAATAAGTATAACAACTTAATTTGTGATTAATTAATTAGAAATTTATTTGATTACTATGTAAATAAAACATTTTTTACTGCACAACTGTTTGACGCGTCCTGTAAGACGGATTCTGTCAATAGCTTGAACGATTTATTATTAAAAGGGCCCGTTTTGCAGGATTATATACTAGTACGTTCCGTACCTATAATTATGTCTTATCAGCTGACATTACAAAAATGTACCGACAAATTAAGGTAGCTAAAGAAGATTGTAACTATCAGCGCATATTGTGGCGAGCTGACACAAAAATGCGAATACAAGTTTATCGTCTGACCACATTAACTTACGGTACGGTACCGGCAGCTTTCATAGCAACAGCGTGTTTAGAGAAATTAGCAAATACTGGAATAGATTACCTACGTGCACGTGAATCCATAAAAAGAGATTTTTATATGGATGACTATTTAAGTGGCGCGTCAACAAGAGAAGAAGCTATAATGTTAAAACACGAAGTCTTATCGGTGTTAGAACAAGCCAGTTTCGAACTACGGAAGTGGAGGTCCAATGACCCTAGTATTATAAATAGTAATAATATTATATCGGTTTTACT